TCTCCCTTCCTTCCGCCGCGCCCTTAAGACTTGGTTATTCCAGCTTGCAGGACTGGCCTAGGGTAATTTTTAGAGGGGTTTTAATTATTTTTTAATTGGACTACGTTTAAATATTTCTTTTTAATTAATTTTAACTTTGTAATTGTCATTTGTGTATTTTAATCGATTGTCAGCCGCCCTGAGTCCGCAAGGAGAAGGGTGGGATATAAATTGAATTTAATAATAATAATAATAATAATGTCTTCAGAGAAAAACAAGAAAGTCCAGTTGCCTCTTGAAAAAGCATCTTTGGAACAACCATAACCTGGATGACTGAGAATCTCCATAGACACCATTCCTGCTATTTAATCTACATGGAACTCATAAGACTGCATGAGGGCCAGGGTACAGTTTGTTTATTTATTTACTTAATTTATAAGGCTTCCCAAATCAAAACATCTCTAAGTGGCTTACACCACATTTAGAAACCAAGATTAAAAAAAATAATCTTAAAAGAAGTAGTAACTGACGATCAACATTAATCTGTATAAATCATTCACGCTCTTGGAGCACAATTGCGAAAGCCAGTGTCTTGGTTTCCTTTTATACTGAGGCAGGATATGCATGACAACTAGATTAAAATACAGGTAGTCCTTGATTTATGGGAACAAAATTTCATTGCTAAGCAAGGCAGTTATTAAGTGATTCAGTTATTAAATAAATCATGTATTTATTAAGTGAACCCTGCTTCCTCCATTGATTTTGCTTATTGAAAGCTGGATGGAAAGGTTGCAAATAGAGAACATGTGACCTCAGAACACTTTTTCTGCCATCTTGATGATTTTGGCTATGTATCCATATAAGTATATTCTAATTATGTGTATTTCTTTCCTTTCCTTTCCTTTTTCTCCTTTTCTCTCCTCCCATCTCGTCTCCTCCCCTCCCCTCGCCCTCTTCTCAAAATCAAAATTGCAAACATCAAAAAAACATTTTTTTGCAATTAATCTGATCTTGTGATCAGCCAAACTTTTATAAATAAATGAAATTGTTAATGCAAGTAGTTACGTTGTCATTTTTATCAGTGACATAAGAAATTCTATGTAAAATGTGAGTCCTGCATAGTATTTGTAGTGAAGCAATTGGTAAATGAAATGAACTTGCACTATTTCTGCAGGTGCAAACTGCATCTATGACCTGCATGCAGATCGTTTGCATCAACATTTTCCATTGGACTTTTTGGAAACATCAGGAAGGATGATCTGTTATTTTAAACTGATTGCATTGGTTGGCTACTTAATTCGCCTTTCTATAGCTTCCATTCGGATTGAAGCAGACAACTGTATTAGTGATTCATTGACCATTTATGACTCCCTAATGCCAATAAAGAGTAAGATATTATATCGGTAAGTAAGCTTTTCCAGTAAGGATTTTTAAATTTTTTTTAAAGATTTTAAACAAAATCTCACAATTTCTTCACTTTCATATATATATACAGTATATATTTATAATTAAACATATATTATTTAAATGAACTGCAAGCTTTACTTATCTAGGTTCATACATCATATCATATGTTAGCCATGGTAAAATAGCTAGGTTTATATAACACATTAAACACATCAAACAATATAAACCATATATTTATATACTATTTTGAAGCATTTATTTTATAAAGTTGGCAATCAGCAAGATCTCAATATGAATTCTTTAATTAGTATTATGCTTTATGTATTATGTTCTTGTTATATGGGTGCGTTTATTTATTTAATATATTTATTAGATTTTTACCCTGTCTTTATTACTTTATAAGTAACTCAAGACAGGGCACATACTTCCTTTCCCTACTTGCCCATTACAACAAACTGTGATGTGACTTGGGTGAGAGAGTGATTTAGAAGCTCTTAGGCCACTGTCAAGTCAAGCATATCTATTATATAATCTGTATTTTTTTTTAACATATGTTGTTCAGAACTATAAGGATTTTATATTTGTTTTTATAAAAATGTATTTTATCAGTTAGCACAATTAGTTAACCAATTGATTAACCAACTAAGCAGGAGGGAGAATTCTAGGATAGGCACGAAAGATATCTAGTAATTTGTATAACATCTATACATTTATAACAAATTGTTTTATTTCAGAATATGTGAACCTTCCAATTCATTGATATCTTTTGTTTCTACAAATAATATGATGTTAGTTATGCTGAAGTCAACACAAGTGAGGCAAATGAAGGAATTTCATGGCTACTTTGAGATCATTCCACAAGAAAGTGGGTATTTTGTCTCTTTTTAAAAAAACAAATGTGGAAGTTTGGTCATATTACTTTTGTTCTGTCTTTGAAAATAGTATATTATTCGTGACAATTTATTTTATAATCTCCAGCATACATTTAGTTCCTCTCCATTTTGTTTCAAAAACTTTCAGTAAGTTTTTCTGCTTAGAACTGCAAGGATTAACCCAGCTGCACCTATGGCCCATCCATATTATGCTACATTATTCCACTAGATGGAGGAATTGTCATATATTTACCCAGCACCACAGTAATTTGTCTACTGACTTCACTGAAAGCTAATCAATATCAGATCAGATCAGGTTAGCATTGGAAAGCAATATTACCAAGAAAAGCATGACTCGGTAGAGAATACTGGGAACTGAACACAGAAATACAGAAGCAGATCAAGAAAATTGTCCATGTAATAATAGGAGCAGAGCTTGAATTAAGAGAGTCTTGATCTTTAAATACTTGCTTTATTCAATTGCTTATTGATAGTTTAATACTGTAGCAATAAACTAATTCTACCATACTATCTTTAGCAATGGTGACTTTCCAACTTAGCACAGGAAGTCAGATAGCTTTTTTCTATTACCTTAGTCCAGGGGTAGGCAACCTTGGCTCTTTTATGACTCGTGGACTTCAACTCCCAGAATTCCTGAGCCAGCATGGCTCAGCTTGGCAACCTCTTCCTTTCCCCTCAACATGGCTGGCTCAGGAATTCTGGAAGCTGAAGTCCACAAGTCATAAAAGAGCCAAGGTTGCCTACCCATGCCTTAGTCCAAGGGTCTTCAATCATGGCCCTTTTATGACTTGTGGACTCAACTCCCAGAATTCCTCAGACAGGCCTTAGTCAATGACTCCTCTATAAGTCTTGTAATTTCTTTATTTCCTTTAGTAACAATCACTTCCTTTAAAAAAAAAGTCTGGAGTAGGTATTTAGCAGCTTAAGAGATCTTTTTATCATGGTTACAAAACTATGAAAGTTATGTCTTTCATGCTTTTTCATAAACCAGGTAAAGGCAGTTCTTAGTTTTCAACAGCATTTATTTAAGATACCGTACTGCATTCAATTTCTCTTTATCCTTGTGGAACAACTAAGTGTCGTTTGTTGCTGTCTCAATTCTCCTACTTTTTCCTATTTTTATTATATCCATTCTTTGTCATGCTCTGAAATTTATGTAAAACAGTAGAGAATCAGATCAACAATTTTAAAAAAGTAGTGTAAAAATGTCTCTTCTTTTTTGACTGATTCTTGATTTTCCAACTGTATAATAATAAACAGGAACATTTCTCTCTTTTCTCAGAATGTGGAAAAACTATATTGGCATTGGGAAGTTCTGGATTTGAAGGGCGAATCATAAGTCCC